ATGTTAAAAAGTCTAGTCTATTCGGTGCATTGTTTTCACGGCTATTGTTATGCTGATTCACCTGGAACCGTGGTCCAGTGGAAAAAACCTGGGCTTCCGTGACACTGAGTCAAGTCCGGGTGGGCGGAGTTAGTAACTGGATGGGTGAACTGAAACTTATGCCCACTTTTAATTTAAATTTTTTTTTGCATCTCCCCACCGTAACTTTGAATAGATTAAATTTCATTTTAGACAAGCACGTAAGTTTTTCTTCGAAGATAAAATACTTTACTACACTTTTTATTGCTACGCGCAGTTGTTTGCAATCATTCCCAAGAGAATGAAATAACAAAAGCCCACAAAAGACACGGCGGCCATGTTGGATGATATAACAAAAGAGACAAATGACGGATCTTTTGTTAAATTCATCCAACGGTGGCTGTGAAAACCATCGATAGTCCGTCATTCAAATAAACTGTGTCGGTACCTTTATATTCTCTGATTGGCGGCACTATATTGCCCTATTTCCCTGTTGCGACTATTGTATTGATCAACGCGTAGCAGTGGAAAGAGTGGTAATTTGAGAAGGGTCCATTTTGAGTCCAGAGACCCAAAATAGACACTTCATTATAGTCATTCGCGCTGATGACCTTGCATTTGTTGTCTGAGTTGTCCATGTATATGCCTCATTACAACATCTTCACAAAACAGTACGTATGTATATATGTCCCTGTCATAGAGGTTAACCTCATAAAGTACACTAGTCTCATCTTAATGAATATGATATTATATGGCATATGATATTTTTCTCTTATTTCTCTACTTCATTATATACACACCGAACGCATAATTTCTACTTTACTATGTCTATTATCTGCGTACATTTACGGTGTTCAATTTACCCTATAGAGTAAAAATATCGCTCTGGGATCCTCACGAATACCCTACATTTCATATTCTGGCTGCGTTACCAGCGTGGTTGGTCCTTGTAGTGTAGTGGTTAACACATCGGACTAGAATACCGAAGACGTGAGTTCAAATCCTGCCAAGGGCATATGATATTTTTCTCTTATTTCTCTACTTCATCTTAATGAACTTATTTTTCCATTCTTTATTTTATTTTTACGTACAATGTTATATTTTTTGCATATATTTTTACGCTAATTATTTCAACATTTCATGAGGTGGTCACCTCGCATGGGTCTCGTGTCCCGTTCGTGACTTCCCTTTCTGGGTAACTATTAGTTTTTTCTATTCAACACATTGTAATATTAGTTTCCCAATAAAGCTGTTTAAAAAAAGAAGAAGTACCCACCTCCCCGCTGTGCCGCCTACATATATGTCAATGTCTGTTTTGGATAACTGTGTCACTTAGAAAAAAGGCTTCGTGGCCGCTTAATATTTTATCCAACAAAACTATTCAGAAGATTAGACTAAAGACTAATTGTAAATATACTAATCCTTAATTGTAAATAATATACCTTTGTATTTTGTAAAAAAAAAACACGTATGTAAACATCTAATTGTAATTGAATAAATAAATAAATAAAAAATAAATAAAGACTAAAGATATATATAAAGGCACGTATAGTCGTACTATACCTCAGTATATTCCGTAACAGAATTTCAACCAATCAACGGTCGTGTTTACGTCACGATGTCACATGCATATAGCACAACCGCCATTTTGTATTTCACAGCAAAACAAACTCTCGTAATGTTTTCATAATTGCAGCGAAAAATATTCTTTAAATGTAAAAAAAAACTATCCTAAATAAGTAGTCAAACCTTCAAGGAGTGTTTTAGGATATATTCTGTTTCGTTTAGTGAAGAGAAAGTCAAGGAATTTGAGTTTAAAAATGCCGAGTTCACCTCGTAAACGGCCCTCAAAGACACGAGCCAAGCCTAAAAAAGGTAATGAAAAAAACTACAATAAAACCACTCCAAAAATATGATTTCCGCCTTCTTTGCTATTTTCTTGTCAACGGAACTTAACTATAGCTTATTTACTGTTCTTTTCTCTTTCTTTCTTTTTCTGTTGAGAAGTTAGGGAAGAAGATAGCGATACAGATAGCAGTATGCCTTCACTCGTGGACAGTTCAGATTCAGACGACGTGAGTAAAAAAACGCCTTTAAAAAATAATATAAAAGTGATATTTTTTAAGCCTTTATGAATTCTTTTTCTCCTTTAGATATTAAACCCACATAATTGTCCCACATTTTTGTATAAAAATGCATTGTTTTTTATTTTCTAGGAGACTAAAGGACCAAGACTACATCATCGTAAAGCCGTTTCAAACGGTAATTTTTTGTGGCTAAAAAAGCGAAGATGTTTCCTTAAAACGACATGTTATTAGATATTTTACAGTGCTAAAGCTGAAACTATTGCAGATGACAATAATTGATTAGAAATAAGCCTAGTTTTATAGTTGGGAAATGCATGACTGCTTTGATCTTACGAATGTTGTTTACGATTTTGAAAAATGTGCCATGTTGCATATTTTAAGGTTTGTATGGTGGGTTGGTCCATGGTATTGATTTCTGTATGAAAGGTTTGCTCACAACCTAGATGTGGTCTCAATACTATAGGTGTATGCAGTGCAGCAAATGTGATAAGAATGAAGGCGTTTAGCCTGTGAAATAAGAAATACTAGCCAACATGTAATATAACAAATCGCTCATCTGTAGATTTACATTATCTGTCTTCTTAGTGAACAAAGATGACATCTTAAAATGTTCAGTACTCAAGCAGAACCACGAGTGCAGTGAGTAGTTGAACATTTTAAGACATCATCTATTTTCAATAAGAGGACAGACAGGAAATCTTTGAGCGATTTGTTTCATACGATAAAATAAAAATAAAAACACATATAAAAACGAGGAAAAAGTTTAAGAGAAAAACGGTTTCATGTGCGCGCTGTCTCCGTGACCATACCTTTTTAGCCAATTAAATTGCAAGAATACGCTCTGTCATTAAAAAAGTCACACAAAAACAATGGCTTTAGGGTCTAATAAAGTGTATTAGTCTAATATCTATTTCACAAATTTAGTGAATTCACTCTACCATGTGCTTGAAAGAATGTTATGTATGCAGTATGCTTTCAAAATGATCTCAGATATGTGGCTAAACACATAGAAAATGCAAAAGAAGCACACCAAGAAAAACTGTGATTTGTTTTGTACTAACACCAGCAATTTTTTTTTGTTCTTCATCACTGATCATTAATTACATTTTTTTCCAAATATTATAGCCGAGAGTGTTGAGATGTGGTTGGATTTGAGCAAAGCATCTAGAGAAAGACACACCAGAGTGATGAAAATCTATCTCCTATCGCCATTTCTGTTTGACGTTGTTGAACAGGAAGATAAGGTAACATTTTGTGTTTGAACCTGTTGACAGCTGTATTAATAATTTATTGTATAATCATGGTAGTTTATGTGAGATTTTTGGAAGTATATCTCAGTCAGCACAGTGTACATGTATGAGAGTCAGATCCAGCCAAAAATAAGCCGGGGGGGGGGGGGTGTTGACAGCTGTAATAATTATTTATTGCATAATCATGGTAGTTTCTGTGAGATTTTTCAAAGATATGGGGGAGGGGGAGGGGGGCTTGACCAAATTTTGAAAATGACACAACAGGAAATATACTTAAAAGAAATATACTTTCTTTACTACTTGAAGAAGCATAACCAACATGCTGGAGGGGGGGTGCTACATCCCCCCCTTCAACTTACCCTGCATCGTCTCCTGTTTATGTTGAAAGGCATTTTCTGTGTTGTTTCTTTGCAGTGGATCAATTGGGCCCATGAATGCAATCTCCTGCCAACCAAAAAGTAAGTCAACCTCACAAATTTTGCAAGCATGCATTTTGTATTTCTCCAATAAGAATGCTACACATTGTTATAATATATTTTGAATACTATTCACAGGAATATTGATCCATCACTGCATATCCAAGAATGTATGGAGGCTGTTGATATTATTGAAGATGCTTTCAACAATGTGACTAAGTACTTGGTAAGCTTGTTTTTTTTCTCACCTTGTATAGTTATTGTTAGTCTTTTCATAAAAGAAAAATTTCAATTAAATTGGAGAGTTATATGAAGCCTTGCCCTGACTTTCATCTGTCTAGAGATTGCTTCAGGGTTTAATCTGCAAGTGAATCGTGCTCCGACTTTGATCTGCCCAGAGGTTGTCGAGGGTTCGATCTGTGACTTAGCTGTGCCCTGACTTAGATCAGCCCAGAGGTTGTTTCAGGGTTCAATCTGCGACTTAGCTGTGCCCTGACTTAGATCAGCCCAGAGGTTGTTTCAGGGTTCGATCTGTGAGTTAGCCATGCCCTGACTTAGATCAGAACAGAGGTTGTTTCAGGGTTCAATCTGTGAGTTAGCAATGCCCTGACTTAGATCAGCCCAGAGGTTTTTTCAGAATTTGAGAAAATTTAAGCTTGTTTAGTTACCTAATTGTGATTGACTATGATGATGATTGATTGATTGATTGATTGATTTAAATAACTGTTTACTTTGACTTACAGTTGGCAAAGGAAGACAGTGATGAAACAGAAAAAGCACTAGGAATGATGGACAAAGTTAATGCTGTAAGTCACAACTGCATTACTAACAATCGTTACAGTAATATTGTAATAACTCTGTTGTATAATTGTGAAGCATACGATGTGAATCAAAATACTGTGGGCACCTAGAAATATTTCAAGAATGTTCAATAGCCAATCAGAAGCATGATTGTTATCTTTCCTTTATCTTGTGGTTAGAAAGTCAATTCTAATTGGCCAAAGAAGAATAGAACATTCCTAGAATATTTCTAGGTGCCCATAGTTTTTTGATTCACAATGTAATTTGATTGATATCCAGACAGCAAGCTTATCCCAGAACCATTAATTGGCATTTTAATTAATAGTTTAATGATTTATAAATCTTTCAGTTGTTCAAAAGATAGAAAAAATATTATTTTTCAATTTAAGTTTTTTATTCATTTTATCAATATAGACCTCCTCGGCTCAGGAGCAATGTTTTCCCATTTCAGACCACGTGTCAATTCCTTGAGAATAAAATTATTTGTTTGAGTTGCATCCATATCCATGTGTCTTCTCACGTGCAACTGAGCGCAACCATTAAACAAAGAAGTAGTACTCTAGGGAATGACACATGGAAAAACATGGAAAAACATTAAACCTCCGAGCGCGTCTGAGTTGAGGTCTATTATTGATTTCATCATTATAATGCAAAAAAAGTCTATCAAATATGTATGTATTTATAAAGTTGTTTGTAATTATTATTGTTTAAAGATTTTAACGTACACCTACTTAACCACACTAAATACCTTCATAGTTATATTTTTATGTGTTTTATCAGATCTTTTTGTAAAGCGCCGTTGAACCATGGGGATATTAGCGCTATATAAATCATAATTTATTATTATTATTATTATTATCAATTGTTGGGTGTGTCCATGGACAATGTTGCTGTTTGCCGAAAAATTTAGTTTTTTGGACTTTCATTGCATATTATTTTAAATGGGGAGGGGCACCCAGCATTAGAAACTTCACATGCAAACAGTGTTATGTACATGTCTAGGCATTCTTTTTTGTGAATACTAATGGTTGAATCATACTAATGTCAAACATTTTCTTTTCTTTATTGTTTACAGCTGGACAAACTAGACAATGCTATTGTGTGTGCAGAAAGCTTCAATATATTTTTAAAAATCAGGTTAGTAATGTCAGTGGAATTTTGTAAGTCATTAGGCGGCTGCAATTTGTTTTGATAAGCAGTTTATTAATTGTAAGGCTAAAAAAATTAACCTGTCAAAATGTCCTTTCTGTCTGCCTGTCCAACCACCCACCCACCCTATCCACCCACCCACCTTCCCATCCACCCACCATCCCATCCATAAATCCTTTAATCCATCCATCCTTTAATCCATCCATCCATCCACCCA